ATTCTCTCATTAATTGTTAACCAGAGTTGACTGTCACCCTGGGGAACACCTCTCTCCCAAGAGCACATAAGCCACGAGCCTGTTGCCATCAGGGCCTTTGGTTTTGGATAGCGCTACCGGCCTTTTGTTAAAAATGCTGGCATTATTAATAAAATGATTAAATCATCCAGACATGATGTCTCTCCAACTCTTTAAATGCCACACCCTCCCCTGTATGGACTTGTGGCGTCAGTGAATGTCTTTTGACTACTAAAGTCCTCTTTGGTTTCCTAGATGGAATCCAGTCTGCTTTCCTCGTGTTTTCTCCTCAGACCATGGTTACCTGATCAAGACAGGTGATGCTAATGGTAGAATTCTGGGAGTTACCCATCCAACTACATGTCAGTCCAGCCAATGTGATTCTTTTATTTTTAATGCACTTGGTTCTTTCTGTGTGTCACGCTATCTCAATCTCATTTAAGCAGCCATCACATGGTCTTATCAAGCAGGCCTGGTGCAGTCAGTACAATGTCATCTACAAAAAGGAGTATCTGGCAAGCCTGCCCATCTATTAGAAACTCTTCTCACATTTATATTCTGCATGGCCATCCTCTAATCATACTAGGACTTGAGCAAAATTGGACCACTAACCATTCCCAAAATTTCATACATCATTCACACATGCTGTTCCCCAAACACATTCTTTTCTCATCTCTGCTGCTCAAACTCTCCATTGCTTTGAGGCTTAACTCAGACCATCTCCTTTGAAACCTTTTCTCATCTTCCAGGTGGCGTTCTCTGCTGCCTCCATTTTCCTTGGACTCTAATTCTGGTCTTCTGTCTCCCTAGCAGGATGTGAGCCCCTGAGAGCAGGCAGTCTTGGCATCTCCAGCGCTAGCACAATGCCTTCTACACAGCAGCGGCTTACCAAGCCTTGAATGGTCTATGTACAGACCAAGGATAGACTTGATGAAAACACAAGAAGGGAACAGAGAAGTGCTCAGTCAAGGTCAAATTTCCATACCAAGCCACATCTTTACAAGTGCAACATCTAGAGGTGGAGAGAATAGATGATCCTCTTGGCTGTGGATTACAAAAAAGCTTTTGACCCGAGCAAAACAAAATGAGTCAGGCTGTCTGCCCTCCCAAGGAGTTTCCCATGCACATCTAAAATCATACAGATTCAGTGACAGATTTAAGCAGAGAAAACAGATTGTCATCTTGTTATCAAGCCGGGTGTAAACCATGAAAATATATACAAAGAAATTCCTATTTGTGGCAATTTCCCCCTCTTCAGCCTCCATCCTAATAAGTGGGGCCTAAGCAGTGAAGCGAGGGTAGGGTCCAAGCCCCTTAGTTGAGGTGGTGCCCAAACTGGACCCTCCTGATGTCCTCAGCCCAGCAGGTGGGCTCCAACCTAACTTCACTCACGATCCACCCATTCTACCCTCCAGCTATCTCCTTGTGCTCTGCATCCACCTCTGGCTTGTGTCTCTGCCCTCTGGCTGACTCTCCCTGCTTGGAACGTTCTTCCTCCACAGGTCAGCTGGAATGCCAGTTCCTCCACAAAGCCCTTCCTCATCTCAGCCGATGGTGTTCACCTCCTGCCTCCCCGAGAGAAAAGGTTCTTTATCCTTCCCATGGTCCCTGCTGGTCCTGCCCCACCTCCTCCCCGCCCCCCCCAGCAGAGCCTGAAGCCTGAGCTCCTTAGGGGCAGGGCCTAATTCATTTTTCTTTGTATACCCAGAAGCTAGCACGGTGCTCAGCACATAACCCAATCAATGCCTGTGGAATTCAATGGAGTGGATGTAGAAAAGGGCACGATTTAAACTCCAACCATTTAAGGAAATTTAGAAAAGACAGTTGGTGAAGACGCCAAGAGAGGCACTACAGTTGGAGCTGGGAACCAGCAGGCGGAGGTTGGCATTGAAGCTCAAGGAAGCCAGGTTTCCAGAGCCTCCCCTGCTAGGCCCTGGGGGCGGGGGCATCTGTACATGTTCCTCTCTGAACCCCTGGGGAGCTCCCTGAATCAATTGTTCCTAATTTAATTTCTTTTTTTTGTTGTTTTTGTTTTTGCTTTTTGGTTAGGCAATCGGGGTTAAGTGACTTGCCCAGGGTCACACAGCTAGTTAAGTGTCAAGTGTCTAAGGCCAGATGTGAACTCAGGTCCTCCTGACTCCAAGGCTGGAGCTCTATGCACTGCGCCACCTAGCTTGCCCCCTCTAATTTAATTTCGCCAGCACATTTGAATGCTGGCTTCCACCAGGTCATAGTGAAAACAGGACAACACACAGTGTATTCAAAGCTTTAGCATCTTTTGTCCAAAACGGAAGAAAATGACACACTCTCATCTGCCCTCACAACACCTCTGTGAGGTAGTTAACAAGTGGGTATCATTCCTCTCTTCTTACAAACTATGAAATGGAGGAAAACAGAACAGAAGATTTCGTGGCCTGCCCAGGTTACCCTGAGCCAAGAATCACAGGTGAATAATGACCCAACTTTCACATCTCTTGGCCCCAGCTCCATTACTGGAAATAAAACACCTGCCCATCCTGCCCTCCAATGAATCTTGGTCCTTATCTAAAACCCAGCTTTGGCCTACCTCTAATCCTGCTTATCCAAGGGCTGCCACAAGATAAAAGATCATTCTGACTCCACCCTCTACCAAGTCCATTCATTTTTCTTTTCCTGCTAAAACACTGTCCAGGTCTGGCTGGAATCTGTCCCTTGGACCCACAGCAGGGACAAGCACCACAGTTAATTACTACCTACGCCCAAAGGCAGCTGCCAAGACAATGAGTCTAGGGGTCCGAGGTCCTTCCTTGGAGGAAAAAGTAGGGCCCAAAGTCCCAAAATCTTTTCCAGGTGCCAGACACCAATATGGAATGTTTCCAGAGACCCAGGGACAAGGCCTTAGCTGGTGGAAGGGCAGCTACTTTTGGTCTGCAGTCCCAAAAATGTCTAGTGAGACAGAAGGATGTGGGGGTGAGGAAAGGGGAAAAACAAGAAAGACACCCTGGGATGATGCCCCCCCCCCAAGGCCACCCTGGGCCAAGGGAGAGGGAGCAGGAGCACGTGCAGCAAGGACCCCACTTCCGTCACTGCTTCCTTCTAAGTCCAGCCTTTCCTTCCTCAGACCTTCACGGCCCCCAGACTTCTGAGAGTCGCCTGGGCTTGGGCCAGCTGCTGATTCAGCCTCTGTCGGGTGGTTTCAGTGGGGCCCCGTTTGAGGAGCCCCTGCACCTTCTCCACTATGGCCCTCTGCCCAGTGGTGTTATGGAAGACCTTCACCACCCTGTCTCCACAGGAAGCCAGGAACCGACCTGTGGTGTCAAAGGTCATCTCGGCCACCCGATCCTCATGGACCTTCTCAAAGCTCTCTTCCTCCTCGCCCCGCTTCGTGTTATAGAGGCGTATGTTGTTGCCGCTGGCCAGAGCCAAGACCTGGGCGTCTGCAGAGAGGGCCAGGACGCAAGGCGTGGAGGCCGCCTCGCCGTGCGTCCCTGTCAGCAGGACGTAGGGGTCTTGCTGCAGCTTGTACTCTACGTCTGTGGCCCACAACTTCCACGTCCCATCCTTGGAGACAGTCGCCATCCTAAAGCAAGGAAAAAGAGGTCCCAACTCTGGCCCTGACCACGCTGCTAAGGAGGTGATGGAAGCAGATGGGGTCAAACAGAGCGACGCCTACCGGATTCCAGGCCCAGGGATCCGGGCTGGCCGGTGGGTGTCAGGGGAGGGGCCACGAGGGAGCCCGCTTACCGGCAGGAGTCACTGGAGAAAGCCAAGGAGTGGATACCCGCGGTATGGCCCTTCAGTTCAAAGGCGCGTGTCACCTCTCGGAATTGCCCATTTTTGTTAAAGCAAACTTCCCAAACTTTAGCATCTGGAGTGAAGCCACATGAGCCCACAAATCTGCCACAGAGAACCAAGGGCTGGTTTAAGACTAGGTCCCGGATCTGGGGCTCTGGCTCCAGCACCCGAAGGCTCTCCAGTCCTCCCCCTTTCCCACTTCCGTGCTCCCCTGCTCCTCACCGTGTCCTCACCTGCTACAAGGGGAGATGACTGCGTAGGTGTTGTTCATCTGGTTCGTGTTGATGATGGACAGCACTTCCCCCTTTAAGGTCCAGATGATGATCGTGGTGTCGTTGGAGACAGACATGATGAACTTTCCTGAGAGACAGGCAGGTAGATGCTGGTGACAGAAGGCAGGGTGATTCCTCATTGTCTCCCTGTGCTGGGCACTGTCTCATTCACTCTCTTCCCTTCCATATATCTCAGTGTTCCCTCCTTTCTGCCATCATGACCGTGACTGTGTCGGGGGAGGTCTCAATTCCTTGCTCAAGGGAATCTTGGAAAGTGGGACCTTGACATTGTGGTGAACAGAGAGGTCCCTTTCTCCCTCCTGGGTCCCAACAGACCTAGAAGCCTTCAAAATTTTTTCTTTAGCATGGAACTATACTTTTGCAACAAACTCCTTAAAACAAAATCCCACAGTAATATCTCTGTGAAACTATGG